TGCCAACTGGGCCAAATCTCTCAAGTGTTGAGTGTCTAACTTCTTTCTAATGGAATAATCTAATCCACATGCAGTCATTTCGACTAACTCATGCTCAGGCACCACAGTAAAGTATCTAGATTTCAGAAGACGAGACCTATTTAGGTAGTCATCTATCGGTTCTGTGAATTTCCTCTTTACGCTTGCCAATTCCTTCAAACTTATCTTTGTTTTCCCCACGTAAAACTGTTCATGGAACAGTCTTTCTAAGTAAGACCACGTATCTATGGAACTAGGAGGTAATATGGTGAACCATGTAAAAGCATTTTTGGTTAGTGAACTAGGGAAATATTTTATTCTTAGGTCTTCATTATTTGCCAAGTTTCCCAACTCTGTCAAATATCTGGCAATGTGCTCAATAGTGGATTCATTTGTATCCCCTGAGAAATTAGTGAATTTTGGGATCTTGTGACCCCTTGGAAATTCCGTTTGTAGAATAAATTCCGCTATAAGGGAAGTGTAGTTGGGGCGTCGAAACCCTGTGTTTAAACCATTATTAGCCATGATTCTTTCAACTATATTTGTTATATTATTTTCGACCAACAGGTGGTCTTGCCTCACTCTATGAACAACTTCATCTGCATCTTGGCCTCTATTGACCATGGCTATTCTCCTGGGTGGTTCCTCAGGGTCTGGCTGTCGAATACCTACTGGTTCAACTCTTGGTTCTTCGACAAAATTCTGTCTAGGTTGTTGAACTTGGTTTATGGTTGGTTCTTCTTGAACCCCTATGGTATTCTGCCTGCGTCGAACAGGTGGTTGGGGGTTCCCAAAGAAGTCCGCTATTCGCGCCATATGCGCTGACAACTGCTGGTATGATTGGGTTTTTTCTTGATTGGTTCTGTTTATATTCTGGATTAGGGGAGAAAAAATAGTATTCATTTCCCTCGCCAATATTCCAACCATATCTTGGTTACTAGCGTCCATTTGTTGTCTCAGTGCTGCCTGGGTATTTATTGTTAAAGCAGACATCTGGGCTGATAGGCCTTGATTTTGGGCGCTTCGACCAATTGAACCAACATTTTGAATCTGCGAAAAAGTACTTATGTTGGGTTGCGTATATGTGGAAGTGCCATTGTGTAAACCACTCATGAATGATGATGAGGGCCCTCCATATGGTTGTTCTATCCAAGGCCTAAAATTTTCGAATCCTGGTGGCCTGTGGGGTGTCGAAGGTGGTATTTGGCCTCCTACATATGTCAAAATAGGGCCATTTTGAGTATTCGACAGAGATCTGATATACCCCCAAAGGGGAGCACGTTGGTCGCACTAGCCACAAAAGCAGTTCCTGTGTAAGGTGGATTCGAATCAGTTGCGGCCATTGATCCTGTTGATGTTGGAATGGCCTGGGAACTAGTTGTCGAATTTGTACCGACCGTTCCTGATCCTTGTGGAGGTTTTTGTCCTCCTGGATCATTAGTTGTATTAACCATTCTTCTGGTGTGTTTTTTCTTAGGTATTGGTTGAGATTCAGTAGTAATTCTGCCACTCCTAAGGTTCATACAACACTTTTGTGTATTTTACCAGAAAATAGTCTTTTAAACCGTCTGTTATGATTACAACTAGTTTTTTCTTATAACGTTATGACACGGTCCCACCGGGTGTGCCAATTTGTTCGCAGTGATTTCTGACGAAATAACCGCTAGTCTTCCAAACAAATTTGATATGTATGGTTACTTGCAGGATCGACTAGATTGATCCTAGGATATTGTCTTAACGTTAGTTGTAACACTTTCTTGAAGGTTTATGTTAAATATGACGTGATACTTGTGCATGAGTTTGTGTAAAGGCTTGGAATGCAAGACTTCTGAAATTAAATTCAAATATAAAGGTTTAGACGAAGCGTCTTAATTAAACAAAAAAAGGTTTGAATGTAAATACTTGACAATAAAAAGACTTAAGACTGGAATTAAATGACTTGATTGTAAAAGGAAAAGCCTTTTAAAAGGAATTTGATTTATAAAGCTTTGCAGGAAAGTAAAACAATTCGACAAAATATAAAGAATTTAAGAACAATTGCAGGAGTATGTAAAAGAATGGTTCGAAAGAAAATTATGTTGGTAAGTGCATTTCAAAGATAAAATTGGAAGGTCATACGTACATTCTCAACTAACTCTTTCTCTTTAACTTGGTACTTGAGTATTTTGTGAGTAACTTTGTACGAATTATGATCCTCCTTTTCCCTAACACTAAGGAGCTATTTATAATGTTCTAACCATAACGGTACTATTCTAAGGAAAAGCCACATCACTTCTTGCATGCCTTTCGACACTCTAAGGCTTCCATGTGTCCTTATTCAAAGAAACTATTTTCGAATTTCAAACAATCCCGCTCAAGCCTTCAGCAACGACTCTCTTATGTGGCCATCGAAAACGCGCGTCTTTGACCAAATAAAAATACTTATCTTTTCAAACTATCTTCGACTCAGATCTAATAATAATATATTTCGACTATAGCTCTTTTTCAAGCCATCTTATGGAACTTTAAAATGTAAAGGTTCCTTTATTAACCTGGTCGAAATTCCCAGCTAACACTTGCGCAAACTTGAGTCATTGAAGATCTTTGTAGGAAATATCTTGAGAAATGAGAGGGAAAATTTTGGGGTACAACAGACATCTCATCAATCAAAAGATGAAATGACGACGTCTCTACACGTCATCTCTCCACAAAATCAGAAAATAAACCATGATTAATATAACCATATACAGAGTCTAGCATAAATCATGTAGCCTACATGGTTGTAAGGCATTTTGAAATTATGGTTCATTAGGTTTTGTCAATTTGTAACCTTCCTACAGTGGTTGATACATATAACTTATCACTGAATTGTAAAAATTAAATACATCATCGTCAGACAGTTGTTTAAAAGACTAATTAAAGATTTATGTTACATCTCCATGTCATACATGCATAGCAGCATGGTTTGGATACAGAGGAAATAGTGAAAGTTCTAAGGGGGTTCATGGAAAACCATCAGGAACGGCAGTATCTGGGGCATTAAGGGCTTTTAGAGCAACAAAGCATTATAGGGCAACATGGAAGGCATGAATCCGGAAAGACAGTGTCAGGGGCACATGAACTCTGAAAGACAAAACCAACACAAACGAAAGCAAAAACAAAGCATGCAAGTACCCCGAGCTGAAACCTTCAAAATTTCAAACCAACTATAAATAGGACAAAACTAAAATGTCATTTATATTGCATGTAATATAATGTGGCAATAACTACAACCTATTTATTTAATGTATGCATCCAAAAAATTTTATAAAAAAAGGTAAAGAAATAACAAACTTACTTGATGTGAGATGGAAGATCGTGGATTGAATATAGTGGACTAGAGGTTAAGAGATGTGCTAGGCTTGAATGTGACGGAGTTGAAGTTGTGAGAACGCTTGAAAATTATTGGAATAAAAGTATGCTCACAAGTTTTGTTTTGAGGAACTTTGTTGAAATGGAAATGGGAATGGAGAGAGAAAGTTGTTTTGAGGAACTTTGTTGAAATGGAAATGGAAATGGAGAGAGAAAGGTCTGGGCACGAATACTTAAACACAAGCGCTCGAATTTCAATCTCCATAAAAATTCCGGACTTTGAAATCTATTTTTTTTAAATGTATTTTTGTGTGGTTCTAAAATTTGGGTGTGATGTAGTGGGGGTGTCCTGATATCAGTCTTCGAATTTTATAAATCTGGAGTTTGGAATCCAAACTTTTTTCTCCTTTGGATTTGGCATGATTCTAAGATTCTGAGAGTGTTTAAAGTGTAATTAACGTGTCCGGAATTAGAAATTTGAAATGTATGGATATTTTTGAAATTTCGCCTAGGTGTGTGAATAATGCTTGCGTGTAATAAACAATACCCCATTAGTAAATGACACTTACACCAAACATTTCAAATCACCAATGCTTAGGGATGGCAACGGGTCGGGTCGGTGTGGATTTCACACTACCCAAACCCACACCCGAAATCGCCACCCGAACCTAAACCCAAACTCAAAAGCTATTCGGGTGACAAAATAACACCCACACCCTTACCCGCTGGGTTCAGGTTTTTCCACCCAAACCCGAACCCACAGCAAAAACATAAAACATACAACATCAACATTGAAATTTGAAAAACAAAAATTCCATCAAGGTCTCTCAGAAATTAAAGAATTAAATTACAACTTTCCATCAAGTTTGATAACATTACAAATAAAATTAAGGTCTTAAATTTTTACACTAAAATATATTTAGGGGTACTTATGTAATTTAATGTCAAAGCAGGTGTGATTTTGGGTTTCGGGTGTGGGTTTGAATGAACCCAAACCCGCACCCGAGATATTGGGTGACACCCGAACCCAGTCAACTCGAGTTTTCACCCGTTGACTCGGGTGCGGGTGGACCCCACGGGTTTGGGTCTGCTTGCCATCCCTGCCAATGCTAAACCAAACATGCAACACTTCAACATTCCACTGAGGTAGTTTGAATAATGGATAAATCTTCAAAATCAGTTGCTCTTCATTTAAAATGGAAATAACATACTATTGCTTTTTTTTTAAGTAGAAGTTGCTAGTAACTTAAAAATAAATTCAATTCCATATTTGATGTATAAGACATGAGTATTGAACTATGTTTACATCCTTTCCAATCGGTTACAGTCACCTATGAAATAAGACAACATTCTCTGTAGTAATGACAGTTAATTAATCTAAAGAATGATATAGGAAAAGTTAAGATGTTGTCTAAATATGATGGAACAGATCCATTCTTTTGCATGTTAGTCTTTTTATATGCTTTACTTCACTTCCAAAAAGCTTAGGATCGCCACAAAAACTAAACCACTGAGGCAGCAGAACATGAACACATCAAGTAGCAAAGTATTGGAGATGTTAGTTTCCTAGAATGAATACTTGTTTGAGCCATGCAACTTGTAGAGGAATCCAGTTTAGAAGTGAGCTTCATGAGAAGTGAATTCACTTGGAATCAACTGATCAGACTACATGCATCTTCAGCTTCAGTTATCTCCATGACAAAAACCTGTGACATACTCGGACAAAATAAACCTTTTACAAATTGCAGATTTAGCGAAAAACAATATATTGAAGGACTTTCGGATGTTCTTTTATGAAATAGACTAGTCTTTGATGATGGCAAGAAAATAATCGGACCAATGCCTATAAAAAATTTAAGTACGAGACTTAATTTTATCGGTCTACAACTCATATCCGACAAAGATAATTTCCGCCAAGTATAAAGGCAGTCCAAAATCTACAAACGAGTGAGGTCAATAGCGGATTGCAGAAAATAGCGGAATACCAAAAGTCTGCTATGTAAAATCTAATAAAGCAAAACTCTAAGAAATTTGGTCTGTTAAAAAGAAGTAATTTGAGAATATTGACGTAACCATACCAATATTTCCAGAAAATGATATCTTAACCCTTCAGCAGGTGGGGTTCAGGCACTGAGGAACTCAGGTCTTCTCGAGACTGCGATCTTCTACTCTGCAGACGCATCTGACTTCTATTGGGAGGCCAGAAGGCGCCCACATTAGTACCGCTGCTGTCAAACTGCATCTGCCCTAAACTATTTGAAGAATAACTATGTGAGACACCACTAGATGATGGGTACAAAGAAGACCCGACAAGCTGGATGCCACCATTGTTATCACCAAACCCACGCCCCAGGCCAAATGGGCTTCCACGTGAACCTGCAACTGTTGGGCTGAGCGGCATCTTTACTCTTTCATCAACTGCAGCAACATCGGTATAAAATGGCATCAAAGGAAAAAAAACATATGATTGGTATTTGGCAAGCATCTTGGAAAATATTTGAATCAAACAGTTCATCTGTGAAGTTATTATTGGGTAATCAGAAATCAGTGTTTGTGTAAATTGCTTACCAGATCTCATTGGACTCCATCGTTGAAACCTAAATGGAGATGGAATATTAAGAACAGAAGCACCGGAAACAGTGTCATGCCTGAACATTGGAAGATATTGCCTCCGGAAAAACCTTGGCATCCAATTCGAATTGCCAACTAATGATAAAGCACAAAGAAGGACAATAAAAGAAAACAACAGAATGGCAATAAGAATAAGAGGATTTATTTTCATCTGGAACAATTCAAAGTTACGAAGGCCGTATCCAGTGGAATATGCCCTCCCAGCTTCTAACAAGGCAACCCCAAGTGTCCAAGTGATGCTGCCAGATCCAACAGAAATTTGGTTATCATTAATGTGCAAACCTTCTCTTAGTAGTGAAGTAATGTACGGTGCCCTGAAGCAGTACTGCTCAATAAAGGGCTGAGGCACAACACTTTTCATGGCAACGTCCCATCTTTTTTCACAAAATTCTTCACCCTTTTTCAACACATCATCAAGTGTGGCATCGGAAGTCAAGTTGAAAAACCGATATACAACATAAAAACCAGAAATCACATAAAAGTGGCCATATGGACGAGGTAAATTATCTCGCAAAGCACATGGCATCACTCCGCAATCAAGTCCTGGACTGAGATTTGACCATTGAGACAAATTGACGGCAACTTTCGCAAGTGCACTGCATTGCTGCCAATTAGGAGCACCAACAAGCACTAACGGAGTTCCCGGCCCTCCTTGCTTACTCAACTGTTTCTCATCACCAATACTTCCACTTTTGTCACAACGAGAGCACACATACTGACCCTTGTATCCAGACTGCAAACAAGGATGCTTGAGCTCTATATCTTTACCAGCCATATCTGCATTGGCTAATGATCCAAACTCTTTCTGAAACAGAAGCTTCACAGACTTCCCAAACGCCTCATTGAGACCATAACCCTCAAGAGAATAGGCAGTAAGATGGTGATTCACCGATCCAATCCTAACATACAAACTAGTTTCACTATTAATTTGTTGATCACTCTCAAAAGTAACCTGCAACGACGATCCCCCCAAGTCAAGTGCACCATAAGTCGCCTTCCTAGGAGTAACACCCAAAATACCACTATGATAATTAAGCGAAATCCATCCAAAATAAGCTTCCTCGGTACCAGAAATAATCTTAATCCAATCCTTCTTACACATAAAGGGAGAATCCTTGATGACAGACCAAGCATGATCTAACAACCACTTAGACTCCTTCCTAGGAAGTTTCCTAACACCAGCAGTAGCATAAAGGAACACAGAAGTACTCTTATGAGCATGAACCGGTATTTGCTTCTTCGCCCACCTAACCAACGGTTTCAAAGCAGTTCTCAAACCAGACACATTATAAACCAACTTATCAATCCCAGGTTCAGTTTCAACTCGATCGTAAGCACGACCAGTAGCCTTCTTCTTACGCAAGCCATCTCCTAATGACTTAATTGCTATAGGAAGACTACTATGTCTCTTATACTGAATGTTAGCATTATACACATAAACACGAGTTCCGGTACTTCCACAATCAAGCACAACATAATATTTACCAGACCCAATATTCCAAAAAGAGAAAACAAACATAAAAAACACGTACGTGAGTAAAAGAAACAATGTGAGTAAAAGTACAAGCCTGATTGCTTTGATGCATTTCTTCCGAGAAGTAGTTGGTATTGTTGGTGTAACTGATTCAAGGGGTTGTTGTTTCAAATGGGAATAAGAAGAGAAATCCTGAAGGGATGAAGAGATTCTGAGATTGTTGTTTGGGTGAGTAGAAGAAAGTGAGGATTGTGAGTAGAAGGAAGCGATTTTAGCAAAGATCATGTCTTTTGGTGAAATAGAGAAAACCCAGATGAATTTGAGTGATGGGGTTTAGGTTAAGCATGGCATTTTGTGTGATCAATAAAACTTGAAAAAATCAAAGTGATGTTGAATTGGAATTCGTTAGGAGAATGAGATTCTGAGGAACAAGATGATGGGGACATTACTATGTTTGGAATTGGAATTTGGAAGAGAAAGATTGTGGTGAATTGGAAGAGATTGATAGAGAAATTGAACAACATTCGTTTGTGAAGGTCGTCGGTTAGGTCGAAGGTAAATCACTTCAGACAAAAACCGAACAAGACGAACATTTTGACGACACTTTCTTTTATCTCAAAAACAAGGGGAAAAAAGTTAATTTAATTTTTAAGTTTTCTTCCATGCTTATTATAACCTATAAATTTTGAGGAAATTCAATGCCCTCCTCAATACATATTAGGGTATAAGAGTGTTCAAAATCAAACTGATTTAATAGAAAATCCTAAAATCAAACTAAATTAAATTAAAATTGCAAAAAATAGCATTTAGTTCGGATGTGTTTGGGTCATTTTTTAACGGAACTGCGCAGTTCAGTTCGCTTTGTAATTTATATTTTATAAACCGAATCAAATCAAACAGAACTGCATTATATTATAAAATTTTACTAACCAATATATATTTCTTTTTAGAAAAATCAACATATATTATGTGTATATTTTATACGATATTTATTTTAATTTACAAATCATAAAAAAATAAAATATGATTCATTTATAAATACTATTTTCATAAAATATATTTTATTATATTCTTTATATAATATTTAAGAATGCAATCTTGTCTATATCATTATTTAGATTTAGATAAAATTATATTCTCTCCATTCTTATTTATAAGAAAATTTTAACTTTTTAGATTCATTGAATAATTGATGTATCTAACTAATATATAGTCTAAATACATTATTTATTTAATGAATCTAAAAAGTCAAAATTTTCTTATAAAAGAGAATGGAGGGAGTAATATGCAATTTTATGTATCAAATTATAAATTTATTTTGACAATTATAAATTTTTTATGCTAATGTATGAACAATTAAATATAAAATTATATTTTCTTCTATATATGTATGTATGACTTAATAATTTTTTTGTAAAAAATCGAACCAACTGAATCAATCCAAACCGCATTAGTTTGATTTGATTTGGTTCAAATTTATTTTTAAAAGTCAATCGAACTAAATCGAACCGCATGTTTTTCCTCTTGCGATTTAGGTGATTTTTTACTTCAAAACCGTTCAAACCACACTGCGAACACCCCTATTAAGGCACTATCGGGCCAACTTACTTGTTATGATTTGTTTCTTAACTACATATTTATTTGTCATATTTCATATTTTTATTAATTTTTTTGTTTAAACTATTGCATATTTAATAATATTATATTATTATATTAATTTTTATTAATTTTCTGTTTTAATTCTTAAAAAACAAATCATTTAATTTTCTGTTTTTATTATTGTTTAAATTTGTTTTTTGATATTGATTGTTATTATATTATATATTAAATTATTAATAAATTTATGTTTTAATTATTCTAATATTAACAATTATCGAAATTAATTTAGTTAATTTTTTATTTTAATTTTTGAGCACATTAAAATGCATATTTATATTTAAATACATTTAATAATTTTCATTATTTCTAATTTAAAAAATATTTATAGTTCACAAAGAACATTATTTATAATTTACAAAATATTTCAAACTCACAAGGAATATTATTTGAAATTATAAAGAACATTATTTATAACTTATAAAATATTTTTAAATTTTAATATATATTTTGAACTTCACATTTATGTTATTTAAATTTCACATTTAACCTTCACATTTAAAATCAAAATTTTAATAACAACTTAAAATTAATTTGTAATAACATTAAAAAAATATGAATTTAAAATAAAAAATAAATAATTTATTAAAAAGTTTCAGTTTATTCTAAAAATAAAAAGTTTCATTTTATTCTAAAAATAAAAAGTTTCAGTTTATTCTAAAAATAATAGTTTTAATATTTTATTTAAAATTTATTATTTGATGCATTAAAAGTTTATTATTTGAAACTTTTATTATTTAGAACTTTTTATTATTTGATATATTTTAATAATAAAATATTTTGTTAATTTTAATTTCAGTATATATTATGTTATTAACAATTAATATTTGATGCATTGTAATTAATAAATTTTCAAATAAAATTAACATATAATAGAAATATAAAACATGACAAACAATTGTATTATATATTGTTAAGTAGAAAAATCTGTTGGATTGAACAATATGTTCTAGTGATGGTGCTCTATTATATTCATTTAGGAGGGCATGGGTTCAACTTCAATTGTTCTCAAAAGTTTTAGAGTTTTACAACATTTTATTTTTCTAAAAATAAAATAATGATAAATAAAATGCTTACGTGGCATTTAATATAATTCAAATAATAATAACAAAATCACTTTAATATTTTTGTAATTAAAAAAATTTTAAAAAACAAAAAAATAATTGTAATTGGCATGTATCATTGCTTGTCAAGATCTAAAATGATAAAATATATTAATTTTACAAAAGAAAAAATTATACAGAAATAAATCAAAAATCACCTATATAATAAAAGATAAAAGTGATAATAACCCTAAACTTTATATATATATATATATATATATATATATATATATATATATATATATATATATATATATATATATATATATATATATATATATATATATATATATATATATATATATATATATATATATATATATATATATATATATATATATATATATATATATATATTGGAAATCCACCTAATTCTATGATGAATTTCTACCACAATGACAATTAGTTATGAGAAAAATAAAGAAAAGAAGACAATTAGTTATGAGAAAAATAAAGAAAAGAAGACAATTAGTTATGAGAAAAATAAAGAAAAGAAGACAAGACAATTATTTCTGCAGAGTTTCTCTCTGCTCACAAACTGTAGAAAACTTTCTTATTCACTTTGCAACTGCAAAATACTGTGAATACAATGAATTGACTTACTTGACTTGCTTTACTTACTTTGAAAAATAAGGGTTACTCCCTCTATTTATAAATGAGCTTACACCCTAAGTCCAAAGCCCAAAATATCTTTTTGCTACTAAATCAAATCAAATCAAATCTATTCTGGATTTAAATCAAATCTATTTAAATCTAAAATAAATCAAATCTTCTTTGACACTATGAATTACAATTTAACACACCACCTAATTCATTGTGTCTAAACTGTCTATGTTCATCATGGCTCTTAGCTTTCTGAATACTTCAACTTGCACTCCCTTCGTCATGATGTCTGCAATCTGATTCTCAGTTCTGCAGTGTTTCAAATTCATCTTCCCATCTGCTACCTGCTCTCGAAGATAATGGAATCTCATTTCGATGTGCTTACTTCGACCATGTGCTATTAGGTTCTTTGCCAAATTAATAGCTGACATGCTGTCTATCTTCATGGTAATTGCTCCATGATTTTTCCCTGTTATCTCTTCGACCAAGTTCATCATCCAAGTTGCTTGACATGCACAAAGAGAAGCAGCTATGTATTCTGCTTCGCATGATGATAATGCCACTACTGGTTCTTTTCTCGAATTCCAAGCAATTGGTGCACCACCTAGCATAAACACATATCCTGCTGTTGACTTTCGATCTTCAGCATCACTACACCAACTCGAATCAGTGTATCCCACTAACTTGCATTCTTTTCCTTTATCAACTGCAGGAAACAAAATGTCATAATCGAAAGTTCCTTTGAGATACCTTAGTATCTTCTTCACTGCTGCTAGATGTGATACCTTTGGCTTCTGCATAAATATACTTACCATACCTACATTGTATGCTAAGTCAGGCCTTGTATGACAAAGATATCTTAATGATCCAATAAGTCTTCTGTATTGGGTTGGATCAACATCATCTTCATCTGCATCTTTCGACAGTTGCAGTCTTGGTTCTACAGGTGTCGAAGTTGAGTTACATTCTTCCATCTCAAACCTCTTGAGAATTTCTCCTGCATATCTTCTTTGATGCATCATCAAACCTCTACTGCTCTTGTAGAATTCGATACCAAGGAAATATGAAATCTCACCCAAATCAGACATTTCGAATTCCTTGCTGAGATCACCTTTGAAGTCTTCGATCTCACTTTTACAGCTATCTGTTATCAACAAATCATCTACATAGAGACATAGTATAAGCAATTTACTCTTGCTTCTTCTTACATATACTCCATGTTCAGTTGTGCACTTCACAAATTCCTTCTCCCTTAGAAAACTATCAATTTTCTTATTCCAAGCCCTTGGAGCTTGTTTCAATCCATACAGGGCTTTATGTAGCCTGTACACCTTTCTTTCTTCGTCATGTTTCACAAACCCAACTGGTTGTTTAACATAGACTTCTTCATCTAAGGGTCCATTTAGGAATGCACACTTCACGTCCATCTAACATATGTGCCAACTGTTTATTTCTGCTAGACCAACAACCAACCTGATTGTTTCGATCCTAGCAACAGGTGCAAAAACTTCGTCGAAGTCTATTCCTTCTTTCTGTAGAAATCCTTTCGCCACAAGTCTTGCTTTGTGTCGAGTTACTTCACCTTTCGAATTCATTTTCACTTTGTATACCCACTTGACATCAATTGCCTTCTTGCCTTGAGGCAATTCGACAAGTGACCAAGTGTTGTTGTCTTCGATAGACTTTACTTCTTCGTTCATTGCTTTCACCCACTTCAAATCTTTTAATGCTTCAGTTGCATTAACAGGTTCGACATCTGCATAGAAAGCATAATGTACCAGCTCACCTTCATTATCTATTACATCATCTGATGTTATCACACAATCTTGCAATCTTGCAGGCATGCGTCTTGTTCTTTGAGGTCTGCTTGTACTTGGTATATCTGCTGGTTCCTCTTGTCGAACTTCTCTTTCGACTTGAGTT